GGGTTGTTTGGCAGTGCAAGAAGCTGTTTACCATTCCGTTCAACGATGTGATCGGGATACACGTCGAGAGTTGTACGCCAACATCGTTTTGGCAGGTGGTTCAAGCATGTTTCGCAACTTAAAGTCACGTTTGACCCGCGAAATTGGCACAATTGCACAATCCACCTTCAAAGTCAATGTGAGTGCACCACCAGAGGGTGGTAAATACTCTTCTTGGCTTGGCGGCTCCATTCTTGCCTCCTTGTCCACCTTTCAAAAGATGTGGATCACCAAACAGGAGTACAACGAATACGGACCCACCATTGTTCACCGAAAATGTAATTAAACAAAAAAAGATTTTTTAGTAGAATAATTGAATTTTTTCTTGTCTCCTTTTTTCCCTTCCCTGACTTTTCCAGTTCTGCACGTGGTGTTTTTGGTGTAGCCAGTGGAGGGAGGCGATGTGATGACTTCAAAAAACCACCACTCTGACGTCTGCACACCACATGACGTCGGTGGCGTGAGGGAGAGCGGGGGGGGGGGCGACGAGGGGGGCACCCTCACATCACCGAGCTACAATTGCCATTTCTTCGCATCAAGCCGCCAAACAGAAGTGTGAAGACATGTCATTGCCCTCCGAGGTCTTAAAATGAAAGCATTTATTTTTTTACCAATCAAACACACCAAAAGTGAGGAGAGGTGAGGCGGGGGAGGGAGAAGAGAGAAAGGGTAGAGACAGAGGGGAGAGGAGAGGTGGTGAAAGTAATTAAAAGCATTTTCGGTGTACAATGCTAGGACCAATTTCCTCATATTCCATCTTTGAAATCCACATTTGTTGAAAGGTGGAGAGGGAGGCGAGAATGGATCCACCGATCCACACGGAGTATTTGCGTTCCGGTGGTGCAGCAATGCGAATCTTCACTGTGGTTGGAGCCAGTGAGGAGATTTCGCGTTGCATACGTTCAGCAATGCCTTGAAACATAGTGGAACCACCAGAGAGCACCGTGTTGGAGTAGAGGTCTTTGCGAATGTCCACATCACACTTCATGATGGAGTTGTAGGTGGTCTCGTGAATTCCAGTGGCCTCCAGACCCAGAAAACCGGGTTGAAAGAGCGCCTCAGGACACCGAAAACGCTCATTTCCAATGGTAATCAACTGACCGTCAGGCAACTCGTAGGAGCGCTCTAAAATGGCACTGGAAGTGGATGTCATCATTTCTTGCTCAAAATCCAACGCCACATAGCACAACTTCTCTTTAATATCACGAGCTATTTCCCGTTCAGCTGTGGTAGTAAAATTGTAGCCTCGTTCAGTCATAATTTTGACAAGATGATCAGTTAAATCACGACCTGCCAAATCGAGACGCAGAATGGCGTGGGGCAGAGCGTAGCCCTCGTAGATGGGCACGGTGTGAGTGACACCGTCACCGGAGTCCAAAACCACACCAGTCGTACGACCAGAGGCGTAGAGCGACAGCACCGCTTGAATAGCCACGTACATGGC